AGCAGCAGCAGCAGCAGCAGCAGCAGCAGCTGCAGCAGGGTTTAGGGTTTAGGGTTTAGGGTTTGGATTAATCTTCAGGAGCAGCTGGAGTCTCTAAACGCCTGCATTGATGATCTCAAAAACAAAAACGACCAACTGGAGGCCGAGAAAGTCAAGTAATCCCCAAACCCTAAACCCTAAACCCTAAACCCTAAACGCTAAACCCTAATTTCTACGTAAACCCTAAACCCTTTTTTCTTGTTAAGACCACTGCTGGGCGTTGGGGCGCTGCAGCACTTCTACCGACCTCCAGTCTGCAGAGCTGGGGATGAGGGTTTAGGGTTTAGGGTTTAGGGTTTAGGGTTTAGGGTTTACTTGTTCAGGATGAAGCAGGAGATGCAGCAGCTGCGGCGGCAGCAAGTTGTGCAGGCCCGAGAGAGCTCGAAGGCGAAGGAAGCAGCAGAAGAAGCAAAAGCAGCAGCAGCAGCAGCAGCAGCAGAGAAGAAAGCGCTGCAGCAGCAGCTTAGGGACGCGCAGCAGCAGCTGGAAGAGCAGCAGTACGAGCAGCAGCAGCTGCGGAAGCAGCTAGACAAGTTGCAGCGGCAGCACCAGCAGCAGCAGCAGCAGCTGCAGCAACTGCAGCAGCAGCAAAGCAGACGCGACAGCAGCGACACCGGGGAAGCTGCAAGTCTTGCTGCTGCTGATGGTGAGGTCTTGAGTGACGCAACAGCAGCAGCAGCAGCAGCAGCAGCAGCAGATCCTGCTGCTGCAGAGGATGGGCCTTCGCAGCACAGAGGTTCTCAGAGAGCAGCTGAAGAGGAGCTGCAGCAGCAAGAGCAGCAGCAGCAGCAGCACCAGCAAGAGCAGCAGCAGCAGCAGGACAGCAGCGAAACTGGCGACCGCCCAGAGCTGTTCGGCAGCGGCAGCAGCGAGCCTGAGGATGCAGCAGCAGCAGCAGATGCTGCTGTTGCTGCAGCAGGACGCAGCAAAAAGAGCAGCAGCAAAAGAAGAAGGAAAGGAGCTGCCAAGGAGAGCAGCAGCAACTCAAAAAGAAGGAGACTCAAGAGACCAGCAGCAGCAGCAGCAGCAGCAGCAGCAGAGTCCGGCGGTGCAGAAAGCAACAATGAGACAGAAAATGAGGAGGCGCAGCAGCAGCAGCAGCAGCAGCAGCAGCAGCAGCAGCAGCAAGAACAGCAGCAAGAGCCTCAGCATGAACAAGAGCCGCAGGAGGAGCAACAGGAGCAGCAGGAACACCAGCAGCAGGAAGAGCAGCAGCAGCAGCAAGATCAGCAGGAAGAGCAGCAACAGCAGGAAGAGCAGCAGCAAGAGCAGCAGCAGCAGCAAGAGCAGCAGCAGCTGCAAGACCACACAGCAGATCTGCCTGCTGCCGACGGCGAAGCTAGCGGCGCCAAGTCCCCAGCAGCAGCAGCAGCAGCAGCAGCAGCAGATGAGCAGCAGCAAAAGGAACTGCCTGAAGCTGCAGCGAGCACTGACGCTGAACCCATAGACCAGCAGCAGCAGCAGCAGCAGCAGCAGCAGCAGCAGCAGCAGGCAGAAGGGGCAAGCGGCTCAGCAGCAGATGCAGACTCCTCGGAAAAAGCGGAAACAGCAGCAGCAGCAACGCAGGCAGCAGCAGCAGCAGGCGTAGCAGCAGAAGCAGACGCAGCAGCAGCAGACGCAACAGCAGCAGCAAAAGAAGCTGAAGCGGAAGCAGCAGCAGCAGTAGCCACAGAAGCTTCAGCAGCAGCAGCAGCCGCAGAGTCAGCAGCAACGGAGGCAGCAGCAGCAGCAGAAGATGCAGCAGCAGAATCCGCAGCAAAAGCAACAGAAGCAGCTGCAGAAGCAGAAGCAGCAACAGCAGCAACAGAGGCAACAGCAGCAGCAGAAGCTGCAGCAGCAGCAGAAGCAGCAGAAGGGAGCAGCAGTGAAGAAGAGATGCCCCTGGGTATGCTGGCAGCCAAGCGAGGCGCTGCTGCTACTGCTGCTGCTGCTGCTGCTGCTGCTGCTGCTGCTGCACCCGGAGCAGCAAGAGGGAAAAGGGGAAGGGGAGGCGGCGCAGCAAGAGCAGCAGCAGCAGCAGCAGCAGCAGCAGCAGCAGGCAGCAGCAAAGGGAGGGCAAAGGCAGCTCCGAAGGCAAGAGGAGGAAGGAAAAAGAACAAATGAAGGGAAGCGGCGCAGCAGCAGCAGCAGCAGCAGCAGCAGCAGCAGCAAGCAGCAGCAGCAGCAAACAAAACAGCAAAAGGAGAAAAGGGACAAAAGGGAAAATAAAAATAAAATTTTAAAAATAAAAAAATTAAAAAATGCCAGCCCCACAGGGATGCCGAGGTGTACGTACACCTCAAGAGGGCGCTGACAAAACTATTATTTATTTGTCTGTTTAACCGCTCATTTAGGGTTTAGGGTTTAGGGTTTGAGTTCTTCACAGGGTTTAGGGTTTAGGCTTTGAGCTCTTGGCAGGGTGTAGGGTTTGGGGTTTGAGCTCTTCACAGGGCCTAGGGTTTAGGGTTTTAGTTCTCACAGG